TTAATAGAGGACACCTATGAATAAAGGACACTTTGAATATCCCCAAGGTTTTATTCAGAGGTTTTACTGTACTGTCAAGTCTTACATGCCACTTGCGTCGAGCGTTGAAGGCCTTGAGTCTGGCGGTGTCTATTCTGGCCATGGGCCACGGGGACACTGAGTCCTGCACTGACACCCGCAGCAGTGTCTGGAATAGAGAGTACCCACAAACTACATTCAAACTCTGGGAAACCAAATGTTGCAAAGGTGATACAGAACTAGACATGCTAGTATGGATAAATAGAACGTTGGCTCTGCACGAAGTATTTTACACTACAAAATGGTGGTGGTGGTGTTAGTGTTTATTGCTGGGGAAAATAGTAGTAGCTCACAGTGATCCAGTCATGCTGCAGAGCTTGACTGGCACTCATCCTATACTCTGGGCTCTTCTGTAGCAGAGCCGATATGAACTCCTTGGCCTCCGTCGAGATCTGCTCAAACTGCTCTCCGTAGAAGTCGTAGCGAGCCTCCTTGATTCTGTCCACCACCATCACCGCATTCTCAGAGAAGAACGGAGATGTCCCACCCAAACTGGCGGAATAGAGAGAGAAGGGAGAGTTAAGTGGAGGGGTCAGAAGAGAGCTGTGGAAGTAACTGCTAAATTGAGAAAAATCTTGTAGTCCATTCACGTTGAGAAGGCCGCGGTTTACCTACAATGTCTATTGTCTAAAATCTGTGCAATTCCGTTTATTGCTGAGTATCAAGAAGGTACAGCTCTCCATAGGGGTTCTTTTCTCAGAGCCTAAAACATGTACACAAGAAAGTTTAAGGGTGTTGGAGTCAAAACACACACCACTTTTCTCATTTGTTGGCTCCACACATTGATCTCTGTGCATTGAATATGGTCCTAGTTCTATGGTTACCATACTAAGAAGGCACCAAATGCAACAGTGCAACAAGTAATACCCTACTAGGAATGCGCACGCGCATATTTTGCCTCGCGCGCACCTGCCAGCCAATGCGTAAACAGTCCGACTGAGGCCGCTCGTGCGCGCGCTCTACAGACTGCGCGCGAAGCCAGACTTCCTACGAATCTGCGCGCACGGCGGAAGCTAGACTTGTTACGAATGACGGAAGTTGACATTCCTAAGCGTGACTAATTGACATTTCCTAAGTGTGACTAATTGACATTCTTAAGCGTGACAGACACGTACGTACGTACATCGCGAGAATACAACCCGGAATAGTAATACAGAGGTACATACAACCAGTAATACTCTAAAGACTCACAGAACATAAGTGAGAACACCAACGCTCCACATGTCTGACACCAGCTGAGGTCCCTCCTGACCTATGACCTCTGGGGAGGAGCTTGCAATCATTGCGACATCACCATTCAGTTCCTGAGCCGAGCCAAAGTCTATGAGTTTGATGATAGGGTTTTCCTCCACTCCAGATATGAGCAGATTCTCAGGCTAAGGACATTAGAGAGAATGGCTAGAGAGTAATAGCAGCACTTGGACAACACAGCAAAATGAACATTGGGACTTGTGGTAGCATTCTCTCTTTTCATTGTACGTAGCACATCTTATGAATTGCATGTGTGCTAGATGCTTCAAGGCTTTGTCTCTATACTACCTACTACAACGCAAGTGTCTCTTGGGCTTCTAGACAAACATACTCACTATTTTGAGCAAACTATTAATTTAATGCTTGGACGCATGACGAAATGATTAAGAAGACAAAAAAAATCGATTTGGCTACAGGACTTACTAACACTTGGCTACAAGGATCTCACATCAATAGTGGTGATTATAGAGAGTGATGTCAGAGGTGTGAGTACCTTGATGTGTAAGTGGGCGATGTTCATCGTGTGGAGCGTGTCCAGGGCAGCCAGGAGGTGGGACAGATACCTCACCACCACTCCCTCTGTCAGGTCGTTGTCCTCAAGAATACGCTCTATCAGCTGACCACCTGGGACCCTGGGAGTACAGTGTAGGAACAAAATCAATGTTTTAGAGGCAGAGCAATGAAGGTATGTATCAATGTGTATGCAAAAACGTAATTGGCTAGCGAAGTGAGGCTACCTAGTTGTCTGAATGTGTAAATTTCTTTGTATGTCACTGCATACACCGTAATGTTCTATGTGATTCTAAAATTGTGCTCGCTCATCAATAATGCGTGGCATTCGTTCTAATGCAAAATCAGACAACTTACTGATTTAGTAGCCCAAAATGTTAGCTACATGTGGTACACTGCTGGTAATTCAGCCATATTATAAGTTAGCAGAGGTGAAATGTACATTGAGTTGCCACCGGCGTCTCTCAACATGACAACAAGGATGCAAAAAAACACTTGACAATATGCTACCTACGTTCCTCCCTGATCACTCACAGTTCAGTCACAATGACCAGGTTCTTCCCCCTCTCGAAGACGTCATGGAACTCCATGAGGTATGGAGAGCGGCCGGTGACCTTGCGGCAGATGTCCACCTCTCTCCTTATCTCGGCCTTCTTCCGTGAGCGGAGTCTCACGTACTTGGCAACCATCTGGATCCCCGTCTGCCGGTGGATGCACTTGTGGATGATGCCAAACCTCCCTCTGTTGGGGTGGGTAGACAGGTGGTGTAAGGAATAAGATGGACGAGAAGTAACGTATGTGCATGTAAAAGTTCACGTTATATAGAGTAAGACAGAAGAAAACAGATGAGCTAGGAAGACGACACATATAGGGGACTTACAATACACATAGAGTAAATTAAACAAAAGGTACCGTTAACCACACAGTCCAGCAACACGACTACTTGATTTGAAACAGGCTACATACATTATTGCGTACTGGACTAAAATACTTACTCTAAGTATGTTTTTGATACACACCAACGGGTTGGTCCAGCCTATAGCCTGTGCTTATATAAGAATTATTCATTCACACACGCACAGTTTAAAACCCTCGCAGTACAGGTGTGCCAAGAGCATATCAAAGATCTGTACACAGCTACAGAGCTAATACAAACATGTACCTACTGTATATTGAACAAGGTTTATGCAGTATCAGTTATTGTTAAGAAACAATTGTTACTGTGAAGTGTGTGACATTTGCAAGACTCTGTATCCTTTCTTCTTCTTCAGGTGTACATAGCACCTGGCAATGAGATATACTGCCAGGCACAGAAGAGGCAGAAGAAACTGAACGATTTGAAGCAGTGCCAAGACAGTGAGCCTTTTTTCCATGCCGACCTGGTTATTGGCAAAAGAGATATACATGTACATAACAATTCCATTCAGTAGTGCCAGGTTAAAAA